GCACCCCCCAGCCCTATACCGGGTGCCCCCTCCCCGCCTGGGGGCTTCCATTTGCTCCGCAGCCATGGGGCATCTCAGGGGTGACGCCGAGGGGCTTGTCCTAGCAGATCGCCAGAGACATGGACCCCCGCCCACCCCATAGCCGGACACAGCATGGACCCCCGTCCCGCAGGGACTTGCTGCAAAGTGGTGCAAGTCCCTGTCAGACTGCACCTGGACCCCGGGGCTGCCCCGCTTTGCCCCGATGATGGCTGGAGAATTAGAGCTCGCAGGCTACCACCCTGGAGGGGTGCAGCTGGTGCTGGAAGGCGCAGACCAGCGCCCACAGCCCCCACCTGCAGCCGCCCCAGCTCCACGGCCCCGTCCCTGCCTCCCTCGCTCGCTGCAAAGGACCAGCCAGCGCCGCCTTTCATCTCCCCGCCAGGGGAGCGCGCCCCCCTCCTCGCTCCGGGGGGCTCCCGGGCGGGCGAGCATCCTTGCAGCAGCTACACACCATCTTTCCCCAAGATCTGGGTCTCCAAGGGAAGGGGAGGGTTGGAGATGATTTGCATATTTATAAGCCAGCATGAATTATTCAGCTCGGCGGATGACATGCCTTTAAACTGAGCAGTTGAACCACCCAGTCTCCATCTGAAGAGACATCAGGGGAAGCGCGCCCAAGCAGATGGGTCCCCCTGCACCCGGCTGGCTCTCGGGCAGCACCCCCCGCTCTCCCGGGGGTAACCTCCAGGCACAGACGTGCCAGCAAGTAAAGATGAGGGCGGCCGGCCAGGCCTGGAAGCGGCAGGAAGGAAAGGGAGTTCCTGCTTATTGCAAGGTCCGTGAGACAAAGGTGACTTGGCCCAGCCGCTGCCGACTCCCGTGGCCCCGATCCGGGCCCGATCCCACACTCTCCGCTGTGCCATGGCTTCCTCTGAGCAGGGCCTGGTCCTACACCAAGGCACGGCCTGCCCTTGAAGCAGCCGCAACCGCCACCGCGCCGACGATGCCCATCGCGCTGGCCCTGGCTGGGCAGCTCCGGGCAGACAGATCATGCTTAAGCTGCTTGGGAAAGCTTTGAAGAGATTGCCGGTGGCTTTAAAACCATTAAAGGGGCTGTGCAGGCCAGCACGGCCTGGCAGCAGGCAGGAAGGTTGTGCAAAGGGGGCTCATGTCCCGGGTACCCACTGCCAGGGCTGGCAGGCAGCAGAGCCCCCGGGCACCAGAGATGGGGTCCAGTTGGGTGCTAGGAGGAGAGCAGGGTACAGACCAGTCCCATGAGCAGTGGGTGTCTTTGCATCCTGTGTTTGTACAGCACTGAGCATCCCCTGGGCCCGGGGTCCTTTGCTGGGCACAGAAGCCACGTCCTGGCTCTGCTGCCA